TTTAAACGTCAAGCAGTTTAAGCAGAATAGTGATTACTCAGTGGTCATATTTTATGAAACACCCTGTATATTGTCGCGATCTAGCTGGGGGTTGTTTGCTAGGGTCGCTATACCAGGTTCTCTCTCTCAATCAAAAAATAATATAAAAAAAAAAAAAAAAAAAAAAAAAAAAATAATTCACAAGTATAATACAGAAATTGAATGCTATATGTACTTAACGTTTAGTTTAAAGAATACTTACAGAAACATCTTCAGTCTGCGCTGTCTTCTTCTAACGGACTGAATAACGCGATTAACTGAAACATAATAATGCGACTCACATCGATGGACTAACTTACTAACTAACTACCTCCTTCTGTCTTCAGCACACCATTTTATAGTTTTCCGCTCGTCCCAATTATCGGAGGGTACTGCCTCAGAAATCATCCTTTGTATATTTCCATCACCGATATTTAGTACGAGCTAGCCCTGAAACATCACGCCTACAAACTCGACCTGATGTTAATTGTTTAATAATTTCAATGTTTATTTAAGAACATTATTCAGGTCAACGTTATCACGCGAACGATTTCCCTTTGAATCTTACCATAATTGGTTTACTAGAAATTATATTTACATGATCTATTTACAAATTGATGTAAACCCAAGTTTGGACGCTATTTAAGTCTTGACATATCCCTCGGGCTTGGAGAGCTGGTCCCCAGCGATAAAAATCATGTGGCATATAAGCTATTAAGATTTTCTTGCGACTCATGCAAAATCGAAAAAAATATAATATTTTTAATCATGTCTACTCTTCTAATCCGTACAAACAAAAGGTCCTACGCGATACCACCCGTACTGAAAATATGTCTCCTGGCATCCTGGTGCATTGCGTCCGTTTCAACAATAACATAAGCTTCAAGCTTTAACCCTAACTCATAATCAGTTAAGCTAATCGCACACCGCTAGCACTGGCCTTCTTGCCTTTGTTTGACTGGTTGCCTTCTTATTCATTGTATACATCTGTTCGTCCGTGCGCTTGGTTTCAATGTCAAACGGCCGACGGCCTTTTGAAATTGCTGGGATCAGCGATACTGGACGATTTTTTTCTTTTCTTCATTAGTGTACTGTTTTCATTCGAACCAAGCGAAATTTACTTGTTAATATTTCTTGTTTCTGGCTTCTCTCGGCGTTATATTATGGGTTCAGTGGTTAGTACTATCCAACCAACCAATTTAGTTTTTTCTCCAGGCTAGTTATTGCTTCCATATCCGTATCCAAAATTTCCATACATCTCCAATCCATTGAAATTCGAGGCAAAAAGGCGAGCGGCGTGTTTAATATTTGCTCAACTGAACAGAGCTTGTGATGCTGGGAAGTTTCATCTCACTGGTGTGGTTAGTACGTGTTTCAAGACAGCAACTCATTTCTTCCTTCGACTTCTTAGTGTTGATTGTGGTATCGGCAGGTGTGAATACAATAATTCATGAGAAGAGTAAAGAGATAGTCTATATTTTATTCTTATCTTTAATATCTAAAACAGAATAATAATTTTTGTTTTTTTTTCTAGCTAGATCATTGACTTTTTCATTGCAAATATCTACAGATTAATTTTATCTTAAATAATTTTTCGAAAAATGCATTTGCTAAAAAATTAAAAATTGATAGTGTTTAAATTAAATTTGCTAGGTGTCTTAATATTTATATATAAAATAAAGAATTAAAATATGACTTTACTTATTACTATTATTTTTTTTTTTTTTTTTTTTTTTGTAATTATTATTTTATATTTAAAAATAGCCTCCAACTATTTGTACTTCAGCAAAAATAGAAACGTAAGTATTTATTATAACTTTTTTTTTTTTTTTTTTTTTTTTTTTTTTTTTTAAAGGAAAAAAAATATATATATAGTATATATCGGCGAACTTCATCAATTCTTCTTGAAAAAAGATCATTACCTTATTTGGCTTTTCTCTTAATCGCGATTACCTACATGACATGTCCTTTATCTCTAAGTGTGAAAGATTGTTGGAAAGTCGCGTGCTTTAATAACACTGTTTTGTCAAACATGGAAACATATACAATAAATTACGTCCACAAAACAGAGACCAACAGTATCATAGCATTTGAGCAAACTAGTCGCCAAGTTTATTTTTTCTTTTATTACTGAACCATAATTATAAATAAATGGGATATTCTGGCGTTTTCTGACTCGGGAAAAAAGAATAATCAATTCAGACTAGTACCTCTAAAAACAATCAAAGGGGCTTTCTAAAAAAATAATGGCATCTAGCCAAAAATATGTCACGTAGACGTTGAATACAGGAATCAAATAACAACAAATCACTAACAAATACTCGTCCGAGCAGTTATTTAAGACCAACGGGTCTAGTTCTGAAATAAAATTTTAACCTCACGAAAGTCCCACCATTTTGGGAATGTGATGTGCTTTAGGTGTCATTTTTATCTCTATAATCTACATCGCCACTCAATCTTTCCCCAGGAGATAAATGCAATAGGTTTTTATTATCATGCGTTTTGAAAGAGTATTTTACCTTTACATTACCTTCTGATATATTCGCCATTTCTATGCCCTCTTCTTCGCCCCCTTTGTCGTCTTCAGTACGTCTATTTTTCCTTCTTTTAAATATTTAGGTTTTCGCTATATTAGTAGCAAAAACGAAATTGTGTAAGTAGAGGATAATATCGATGAAGCGATAGCAAGCCCTGTTCCAAGAAATTGCGTCTGGTTTACATTGGACATGATTGGCTTACTGTGTACTGCCTGAAATAGTGGCGTTGCTACAGCTATCCTATTTCTTCCGAATATTAGGAAGGCTACTAGAATGGATAATGTTATGTTCCATATTAAGAAGATCGTCTCGCTGTGAGTCCCGTAAGTAACACTGTATGAAGCATTATTGGTTCCCTTAATGATTCCATGATATTATTATAATTT